AAGGAACACGAAGCATGGTACTGTGTGATCCGACGTTCCGGATGTGTGGAGAACGATGTATCTTTGCCTTGAAGGTGAAGCAGACAAAGTTCAGGGTAACATGCTCCGAAGCACTAGGCACTGCCTGACTGGTAGGTACGGGTGGCACTAGGCACTGCCTGACTGGCAGGTGCGGGTGAGGTGGGGTGTTTGGGTACCTGGCCAGCCTGGTAGTGGCGTAGCCAACGCTCCAGGTGAGAAGCATAAGCACCTGGGGCCAGGCTGCTTCGCTGAAGGGCCAGGAGCTCTGGGCATGAGGACAGGCCTGCTGTTGCAACTTGGTGGAAGGTATAGTTCAGGGCCGTGGGGTTGCGGTGCGCCCTCTGGTGCTGCAGACAGGAAGTGACGGAAAACACACAATGGTGCATAAAAAGACTGTCAAAGAAATTCAAGAAAAAACATAAAAATTGAAATAACGTCCATGTACTGTAATAGGATCCCTAATCCTGGTTCTAGTATATCTGGGTTCTCATTCCCCATAAGCATTTACTAATTAATTCAGTAAATTCACCAGTTTAGCCATTTCTAATGGTGCTTTTCCACTGCCACCAAGATCTGAACAGTTTTCTATTGTAACGCATGCGAGCCGTACCCGCGCCGTACCCGGGCCGTACAGGGGCCGTACCCGCGCCATACCCATGCAGTCATGGCCCTGCTAGTAAGCGGGACCGAGTGAGTGACCAAACCGAGCTGGTCGCATCACCACCATCTGATTGGTCGAAATGCACAGAGATACCACTGTTCTGCGCATGGACGATCTGAAGGAAAAAGCGTATATTTTATATATTATTCAATATTACTAGTATCGCAATGTACTGATGCATTCCTGATAACTTGGAACATGAAAATATCCAACCTCCTGCTTGAAAAAGCCCACAGAACAGCTGACGCAAATTTACACAAGTCAATGCTAATCCTGCTAGCGTTTGATGCTAACACAACATGGTGATTGTAACTGATGTCCTAGCAGAAAGCAACACATAGTAAATCATGATGTACGCTGTGTGAACAGTAAACAAGCGTCTCTTCGGTTTAACCTCACTGTCGCTCTCCAAACCCGGCAGCGCCTTTACCGAGCCGACCCTTCTGCAGTGGAAAAGCGGAGTGACCTGGAACCGCACTGTAACTATTGTCTCTTCAGTACGGCTCGAGTCCGGCTCGATTCCTGTATGCCAGTGGAAAAGTGCCATAACAGTGGTTTGACTTAAAAGAAAAATCTACATATTCTTCATGCAGAGGCAGGACCAGTGGCCTGCATACAGTAAGGGGTTAACCTGCATGGAGGACGCACCTGGTACCAGGAGTACGCTCGCACACTGGGGCTGGTGAGAAGGACCAGGATCTTAGCTTGGGGCAGCAGGGCGGCTGCTCGGCGTGGCGCCACACTCGAGTCAAAATAGCCGGCACTCTTCTCAAACACGAAGTCAGTGCTGGCATTGGATGGCAGTGGGAAGAAGTCCATGTACCTGCAAGAAGATGTGAGTCATTGAAGAGAGCTCCTGCTTCAGAGAAGATGGAGAAGCAGCTGCATTACATGACCCTGCTCCTTCCATCTGTCCTCAGCCATCAAGCCGACAGCCCGTTCACAGCTTGTTAGTACCTAAGCGATCCGCAGTCAGTGCCTGCAGAACCGGCAGAGATCGTTCAGTTCTGGTGCTACATTCATGACACCTGCAGATACTTTATCATACTGTCTCGCTTGCACACTTTCTTGTATGTTTTGCTCCATCTTTAGTTTCTTCGTGACCAAGTGTGGCTGAATGAGCCACATTGCAGTGTAGGCCTACTTGCTGCCAATAAATCCTGAATCATGAATCTTGTTAGCAGTTTATCAAAAATATACATATTAACACTGTGCTTAAGCACTGTTACCAATCGATGCCATGGTGGTAGTTGGGCCCACTGAAGAACTGGACCTCCTCGAAGGTGACTGGGCTGGGGAAGCTGCTCACGACAGCAGGGTGGAGGCTCAGGAAGCAGTGCAGGGCCGTGGTGCCTGGAAAGGGTGCAGTGAGGGCTCAGTGAGGCCACAGTGAAGCTCAGTCCTGTCTGCTCGTTGCTCAGTTGGCAGGTGGATGCTAAATCGCTTCCATTTTATAAAAGGTGCAACTACTGGAGAAAACACTGCTGACATATTAATGCTTCCTAAGGCATCTTGAATAATGTTACTGCAGTACTTTACCTGCATTCTTAACCTCTGCAGTTTCACAAACTGGAATGTTGTTTACTGGCTTGTGTGTGTGAGAGAGGGAGAGATGTATATATTACATTAGAAATCACACCACAGATCCATAAACTGGGTGTGGCCTGGTGTCTTTTATGCACAGTGAATCAATACTAATCCGGATCCGCTTTCTGGATTTGAAACAGATGAGAGCCACATATGGCCAGTGTTACATTGAATGCTACCCAATCTGGCCTGTATCTGCACCAGAGTCAAAAGTTAAATTCAGAGGCAGCCCAAACCGAGGCAGTGAGTGGCTCAGTGGGCTAAGCCTCTCTGTCTGTGATTTGAAGGTTGCTGGTTCAAGCCTCAGCAGAGGGGGCTGCCCATTGGCTGACCCTGCACTATAACCCCTCCCACAGAGAGAAAGATGGGGTCAGTGAAGGAAGCACTCTGATGTACTTGTGCAAACAAAACATGTTTGTTCCTTAAATGTGGCTCAGACCCTTTTGTTTCCCCCAGACTGACTGCTGACTAGTTCTGCTCCAGGATCCATCACCTATGTGGCTGGTGGGTGGCTCAGTGGACTAAGGCCCTGTGTTTGTGAGCAGGAGGTTGCTGGTTCAAGCCCCCAACCTTGATCAAGGCCTTTAACCCCCAGCTCTGGGGGGGGGGGACTTCTAAGATAGAGAGTAAGTAGATGATGTATAACTGTGTAAATAAAGTTTACATTCTGCTCCCAGAATCCTGGAGCAGATACCTTAATAAATGCTTTTATTTGTACAAGTACAGCTACACATCTCTTTAGAGTACAGGGTCAGTCAGCACCCCCAGAGCTGGGGGTTAAAGGCCTTGTTCAAGGGCCCACAGACATGTAACCATTCCAGTGGGGCCGGGGCACGAACCAGTGACCTTCGGCTCACAAGCATAGAGACTTAGACCACTGAGCCATTCACCAGCCACATAAGCTAGGTTGGATTCTGGAGCAGAACTAGTTCGCAGTCAGTCTGGAAAAAAAAGAGTCTGAGGCACATTTAACAAACAAACATGCTTTATTTGTGCATTGAAAGGCTTCTCTTCATTAACCCCCATCTTACTCCCCATAGCTTAGGGGTCACAGTGCAGCTGACAGACAGTGCCCTCTGCTGAGGCTCAAACCAACAACCTTCTAATCACAAACAGAGAGGCTTAGCCCACTGAGCCAATCACTGCCCCTGTTTAGGTCACATCTGAATTTAACTTTTGACTCTGGTGCAGATACAGGCCAGATTGGGTAACATTCAATGTAACTCTGGCCATATACGGTCCTCATCTGTTTCAAATCCACAAAGCGGATTCAGACAATATTGGTCCATTGTGCAAAAAGATACCAGGCCAGTTCTGGTTTACGGATCTGTGGCAATTTCTAAACAACATTTGGCCTGAATCTGAATCAGACTCATCTTGCTATGTGGGTCCATTATGTTAAATTTTGTGGCTGCAATCAAAAAACTAAAAATGCCAAAAGTCTTGTATTTTGTTTGCTTACTTATGGTTAAGGTTAGGGCTGGGTGGGGGTTAAGGTCGTCATTGTTGCGATTAGAATTTTTCCCATAGAAATGAATGGATGGTCCCCACAAAGATTTGAGTACAGGTCTGTGTGTGTGTGTGTGTGTGCGTGCGTGAGTATTCTGCTCTTACCGGTTTTCTGTGGACCAATTATGAGGAACTTGGGAAGTCGGTCGCAGGTCTTCTCCTTTGACCAGATGTCTTTGTGGCGCTTATCATGACAGGGGTTCTAAAGGGGGGGGGGACAGACCCCCAGTGACTGCGGCTCTTCATACATACATATGTACATACATACACTTTATAAGCTTTAAGTTAAAAAAAGGTGAGCAGGATCTGAGCTTAATCACAATCATCACTGCACCTGGACTGTTACTAACTCAACAAATGAGAAATTCTACTGCAAGAGCTTTTCCTCTCACCTGCCACAAGGGGTCCTTTTCCTCAGGAAACACCTGGAAGTACTTCTCAGCCAGCGCCACCGGGGGCAGCGTGTGAAGCCGCAGGTTGGTCCAGCACTGCACGAACTTCAGCAGGGACTCAAAGGTGTAAAGGCCCAGCCGGTCATTCCCATAGTTGGACAGGTGAGTCATGAAGACATTAACCTGCAGTTAAGGGAGGAAATGTGACCTGTGGAAACAGGCAGGAGATGTACCTGGCGAAAGGCCGGGAGACCCATACAGAACGACTACGGCCGAGTGGCCGGGAGACCCATACAGAACGACTACGCCCGAGAGGCCGGGAGACCCATACAGAACGACTACGGCCGAGAGGCCGGGAGACCCATACAGAACGACTACG